GATCAAAGTTCAGTTTGGTAGCATAACTTCTTATAATGGAATTAGTAATGGAACACGGAACCTAAATAACTTCTAGTGAAAACAGTAATTCCTGAAGTTGCATGGATGTATAAACTTTTCTATATTTGCTGTTTAGGCATGCTGCGTAAGAACCAAGGTATCTGTGTAGAACCACAGTGTCTAGTCAAGTGGCTAATGAGGCTAAGTAATTGTATTTCTTTGTAGGCAATATTTTCACAGTTTCAGCACAGTCGAGAAAAAGCACTCCCATCAGATAATATGAGACATGCCCTGGCAGAGAGTTTTAAGGATGAACAGCGTTTCCAGCTTGGATTCATGGATGATGCAGCGGAGTGCTTTGTAAGTATTCTTTGGGATAGTTTAGTAGAATTCCATTAGTTTTGTGGATGCCAGTCCAGCCTGTTTTGCTAGCTCCAGGCTCACAGGTGGGGTACAAGTGACATAATACAACGGACCTTCTCTATGCCAGTTTAGGGGAACAGACACATGGAGTTAAGTGTTTGGTAACGTGGTTTGGAGTGATCTTGCATTTGCTGTGTACTTTCTTCTCTAACTCCATAGCTTGAGCAGAGGGATATGTCAAACACTGTTACTACAGGAGGTCAGTGAGGATGATAAACTCTCAATCATTCCTAAAAGTTTTTGGATGGAGAGAACTGTTATCTTCTTGGGAGAAGAGGCACCTACGAGTTTGAATATGTAGTCTGTTCCTCCAAGTATTCTCTCATCAACTGTTGAAATACGTTCAGTTACAACTAGCTAGCTCATTAGTGAAGCCTTCTGCAGAAGATATTTCCATTTTCTTATCCAAAAGTGAACAAATACTTGAAGATCCTGACACTCCTGCAATTACTTTCTGCTTTTATGAAGGTGTCTCATTGAAAAACGAGTTGTTACTGTGGCCGTAAAAGATAACTCAAGATCGCATAGAACACTGGTAAAGAAGCCTTTCTAAGAAGTCCTGCATTAGGCAGTGAAAATTGTTCACCATAAAAACCAAAAATCACTATTAACTTTCAGACACAGATTTGAGGGACAGAAATTACAATTTCTGCTTTTATTCCTTTCAACTTTGGATATCCCTTGGAAGTATCAGCAAATGAATCCCTACCTGCCTGATGCATTTTCACATACATAGGAAAATCCAGTGGAAAACTCGTGAAAGTGGCTGTTGAGATCTTGCAGTCAGGTTAATCGATTACAGTCATGAAAGACAACCTCATTAGTGCTCCATCTAATGAAAATGCATTTGGTCTGCTGAAGTAACCTGCTGTCTGAATAATCTACCTGAATAGATTAACTTCTTGCCATTACCTCTGGTGTTTTTGGCAAAAGAGTTAAAAATGGCCTTACTGATTCAGTGGCCAAACTGGTTACAGTCATAGTACTTTATTTTTTTTTTTCTTTCCCTTTTTTTAAGGTTAAAAAGTGAGACTTGGGATGGGATCAGACATATGCTATTTATGTCATGCTTCTGTCAATAGTACTTGTGTCAGACATGGTCAGATGACCAGATTGATAGGCAGAGGAAAGCATAAAAGTGTGGAGAACCGCTGAGACAGAGGCCTGAAGCAAAAAAAAAAAATCAGTTATTGCATGCAATGTCATTAATATCACGTGTTACTGTGTAAGAACAGCTTTTTAAATTTTTCTTGAAGATTCACTTCCTTCAAAGGAGACTGTGCTCTGGAGTAACAGTTGGGTAACTGTTGTCTAATGCTGTTCTGTTAATGTTCGGAAACCTTAAGATTAAGAGAATTCTCGTCCTCTGGGTTTTGAATTAAATACACATTAAAACTTGTAGGTGGACTATTTGGAACCAAGGGGAGTAGTTGGAGTATTAAACTGTAATCTTGCTCATATATTCTGGCTTCATCAGTCCAGTTTATATTTACATTATTATTTCTATTTAGGAAAATATCCTTGAGAGGATTCATTTTCACCTAGTGCCAAACAGTGAAACAGATATGTGCACTTCAAAATCCTGTATTTCTCATCAGAAGTTTGCTATGACACTGTATGAACAGGTCAGACCTTTATTTGATTGTTTTAAGAAATAATTTGATTCCACTGTCCTGAGTAAATGAAAACAAAAGTATTTTTATTTTTGTAGTGTGTATGTCGCAGTTGTGGAGCATCATCAGACCCATTGCCTTTTACGGAATTTGTGCGTTATATTTCTACCACAGCCCTGTGGTAAGAGCTTTTATTCTTGTATCTCATTTTTCTACATACACTTTTCCAATAATAAGCAAAGCATGCCAGAGAAATACTGTAAGTGTTAAAAATGAATGTGTATTCCTTTGTTAAAATGTATTTTGGGGAGGTTTAGATTGGATATTAGGAAAAATTTCTTCAACTGATGTTGTCAAGCATGGGAACAGGCTGCCAAGGGAAGAGGTTGAGTCACCATCCCTGGAGGTATTTAAAAGACGGGTAGACGTGGTGCTGGGGACATGGCTTAGTGGTGACCTTGGCAGTGTAAGGTTTACAGTTGGACTCGGTGATCTTAAAGGTCTTTTCCAACCAAAACAATTCTATGATCTTTGAGATACTGTCCAAAAGTAACATTTGGATTTCAGAAGCAAGATGTAGAGAGAGCTTGACAAAAAGCATGTATTGCTACTTCTTTACCTCTGTATCTTTTCTTTTTAGTGCTAAGATATAGCTAATTGAGACTTGACTGAAATCTGTTAACTCTAAATAAGGGAGATCCACGGTTATTTCCATTTATTTTTTACAGTAATGAAGTAGAAAGAATGATGGAGAGGCATGAACGTCTCAAGCCAGAAATGTTTGCAGAATTGCTGCAGGCAGCAAATACTACTGATGACTACAGAAACTGTCCTGTAAGTAAACAGAAATGTTGCATTACTTTACAAAGGAGAACTTTTTAGGATATTAAATCATGCTAAAGTATTCCCCTAAAAGCAGGATTACCTGTACCCAGTTCAGTGCAGTCCAGCTTACGGTAAAAAAGCCCTTAAATATATGTTTTATTGCTCCAGTTATACATAAACATGGAATTGTAGGTGCAAGGAGCCTGTTTAGAAAGTCAAGTTATTAGGTCCATGGTTTTTTCTTCACTTCGTGTTCAACACAGAGCTAGGTGGTTTTGATTAGTTTGAACACGGTTATTTTCCGAGTGAAGCTGTTTTAGTTCACATACACTGACAGCTTGAAACATTGTGTTCTATTGGAATAATTTTGTGCTTCTATAGACAAAAATAGTCTCTTTTTGTTTGTTCTACTTAATTCCTCTCTTCCTTAAATGGTTTTGTGTAAATACCATTAATGTAGGAACCATAGAAGAGTACATAAGAATATACAGACCTGGGCTTAAATCATGAAATGGAGGGGGGGAATGAACGAGAAATTGTGATGGTGACAGGTGTTTTCAGAGATTTCTGTTTTAAGGTGGTGATTGGATGCCGTTTAGCTGTAGTCTTCTTCAGAGTGTTTTTATGATGAAGAATTTTATCCTTAAATTGTTAGAAACAAATGCCATAATTAAATCTAAGAATTAGAAGAAGTTGTCTTATTGCACTGTTTCTTGTCTACTAACTCAACTTTGGACTTCCATTTTTTAAACATCTTTATTTTCCCTCCCATCACATTTTTTTTTTTCCCTTTTTTCTAGAGTAACTGTGGTCAAAAAATAAAAATTCGTCGTGTTCTTATGAATTGTCCTGAGATTGTCACAATCGGTTTAGTCTGGGATTCAGAACACTCTGACCTGACAGAAGAGGTTATGCGGAATCTGGCAACACAACTTTATCTTCCTGGGGTACTGACAGAAAACTTACTCTTTGCTTATTCTAGAATTTAATTTTACATGTCTTTTATATATATGTATATGTAAATATATACAAAACATAAATATATATGCATATGTATTTTTTTAAAAGCACAATTTAACTTCAAAGTTTGTCTACTTTTACCGATCTTTATAATGTGCTACTTGATGTAGTTTCTATGAGAGGAAAAAGTCTCATCAGAGCTGTTGGTCTTGTGCCTAAATACGAAGATGAATGGAGGTGAATTCCTAGTTGAGAATCCGGGAATATCATGTTCTGTTTGAAATTTGTGGAATTATTCCAGGGAATTACTGTCTTACCCTTTCAACTGTGCAAAAGTAAATGTTAAAATAGACATAATAAGTGCAAAAATCATTATTTACACTCATAAAAAATTGGATAATTTATCATTGGATAAATAAATAACAGGATATTTGATACCAATTGTCTTTGTGGAATGCCAGTAATAAGTCTGGAAATTGAGGCTATGTTTTACACATATTTTGAAATATATAACCATTTTTACAGCTGTTTTATAGGGTTACAGATGAAAATGCCAAAAATAGTGAACTTTTTCTTGTGGGAATGATTTGCTACACAAGCCGACATTACTGTGCCTTTGCCTTTCACACCAAGAGTTGCAAATGGGTGCTGTTTGATGATGCTAATGTAAAAGAGGTAAATATTGGTTTTACTGCTACCAGATTTAGTGATCTTTACTTTTCTAGAGTCCATTTACTGACACCAAACTTGAAACAAGTCAAGGAATGTCTATTTTAATAAGCCTTTAGTTTTGTAAATTAGTTTTCACAAATGAATTTTAGAATTGACTTCACAGCTTTACAGTTCTCCCTTCCAAATGCTGAATGTGTCAGAATGTTAAGGCACTTGTCTACTGTTGAATTTGTACTTCTTTTAATGAAAAATAAGAATAAGATAGCAGCTGTATTCATAGTGTTGATGTTTTGATTGTTAGCCCGTGTAATACTGGTTCTAGTTTTTTGCTGCAGTTCACATAAACTTGGGCCAAAATGTTGAATCTCAATGTACCTTTGGAATTAGGCAT